CTCCATCCAGCCTTGTTCCCTTGCTGGAGAGGAGTTTTGATCCCTTATAGGAGGAGAGGCATTCTGGTTTCATGTGTCTTCATCCTTTTTGTGCTGGTTTCTTCCCTTCTTTGTGGATTTATCCACCTGTTGTCTTTGTAGTTGTTGGCTTTCAGATTGGGTCTCTGAGTGTCATCCAGTTTGTTGATGATGAAGTTATTTCTTTCTGTTTCTTAGTTTTCCTTCTAACAGTCTGGCCCCTCTGCCATAGGACTGCTGAGGTCCACTCCAGGCCCTCCTTACCTGTGATCACCTGCAGCAGCTGCAGAACAGTAAGGGTTGCTGCCAGTTTATTCTGCTGTCTTTGACCCAGAAGGATACTCGCCTGATGTCAGTCTGAGCTCTCCTTTATGAGGTGACTCTTTGGATATATGGGTGTCAGGGAGCTGCTTGAGGAGAAAGTCTGTCCTTTATAGGAGCTCAAGTGCTGAGCTGTGAGCTCCATTGTTCATTCAGAGCTACTGGGCAGGTACATTTAAGTCTGCTGCAGCAGAACTCATAAACCTCCCCCTTTTTTTTCCCAGGTGCTCTGTCCCAGGGAGTTAGGCTTTATTTATGAGTTTCTGTAGTGCTGATGCCTTTTTTCAGGGCTGCCCTGCCAAGTGAGGAGGCAGCCTAGTCACTGTCTGCCTGCAGATGCTTTGCTGAGCTGCTATGGGCTCTGCCCAGCTGCATTGTGAAATTCCCTGCAGTGCTGTTTATAAGGGTGTAATTAGAACTGCCTAAGCAACGGTGGCCCACCTCTGTAATGGCGGACTCTCTCTGTAATGGCAGGTTGCCTTGGCAATGACGGACTACCTCTGTAGTGGTGGACTGCCTCGGTAATGGCGGACGCCCCTCCCCAACAGAGCTCGACCGTCCCAGGTTCTGCTGTACTTGCTGTGAAACTCTCAATCCAGAGCATTTCAGATTGCTGTTTTTTTGTAGCGGTGGGACCAGCTGAACCTGATCACCTAGCTCCCTGCCTCAGAGCTGTGTTTTTTGTTTTTTGTTTTTTCCCCAGTTGAACAGTAGACTCTGTCTCCCAGGTGTTAGAGTTGCCTGTTGAAAAGGCACCAGAATCTGTGTGATTTCCCTTGCAGCGACCCACTGTGCTGGCTGAAACAGCCGCGCTGAGATTTGTGGTGCTTTTGTGTCCAGGAATCTCCTGGCCTGGCTCCTTGTTTCAGTCTCCTTTTTTTAAGTTGAATGGGCAACTCTGTCTCCCAGGAGCTCCAATCACCAGCTAAAACGGCGCCTGGACCCGCATATTTTGTGCAGAGACCCGCGGCGCTAGGGCACTGGTCAAAACAACCTCCCCAGCCAAAACCACTGTGCTGGCAACCTGTGGGTCTCCTCCGCCTGGGATTCTCCTGGTCTGTGGGCAATAAAAATCCATCTGTAAATGCGGCGTCCATTCACCCTCTGTGCTTTCACTAGGAGCTGCAATACTGAGCTACTCCTAATCGGCCATCTTAGATCCGAAATCGATAAGCTTTTTTTAAAGTTTCCTTTCTTGTCAAATCTTAAGTGTGCTAATAACTCTTTGTTAGGGCCTATCCAATGTAGCTGTTAAACAGGCCATGCTTACAGGCATGTGGTACATATGTCCTTGTATGTACTAAGATATGGGTGCTGGCTGGACGTGTTCACAAGCATGTCCCAGCTCTCCATTGCTTTTACCTGTTTAGAAAAGTTTTCAGTTGTTAGCCAATCGAGTTTTAGTTTAGATTGTGAGGTCTGGCTCCAGTCAGTGGAGATGATTCACAGCAGTAAGGACGACCCCAAATGCCTAAGGGATAAAATTGTGTGTTCATTGTACTCTCGTGGCAGGATGGCTAGTGAGGCTACCCTTCCTGCAGTCCAGGAAGTAAGAATTGCATTGCTGAAAGATCCTTTGGGGACTTCTGGGCCCGTTCCCTCCCTGCCAGTATCCGAGACAGAAGGCCTAGGGTCCTGTTGGGTTTCACTTTTCTGACAACATCCAAGAGGCAGATCCTTCCTCCACGAGCTCCAGGGGCTTAAGAGCTGGGATTTGCTGGATGGTGGCAGGGAGGGGCTGGATCAGGCCAGGTCCCAAGGTGAGTCTCCCCTTCCTTACGGCTTTCTGTGCCAACCTGACACTCCTAACCTGGGACACACAGGGTTCGTAAGGGAAAGTCAGGTGTCCAGTTCCATCCTGCTTTGAGGGGGAAAAGCTGAGTGTAGGGGTAGGCTGGCATTGCCTCGGTCAGCCCCAGTGTGTGCGGGCCTTCTGCCTTTACTAAGAGAAAATGCAGACCTGGTGCATTGACTCACACTGTAATCCCTGCACTTTGCAGGGCTGAGGTGGGAGGATCACTTGAGGCCAGGAATTCAAGACCAGTGTGGGCAACATAGCAAGAAATTGTTTCTCAAAATTCAGCCAGGTGGCCAGGTGCAGTGACTGATACCTGTAATACCAGCAATTTGGGAGGCCATGGCAGGTGGATCACAAGGTCAGGAGTTCAAGACCAGTCTGACTAAAATGGTGAAACCTCATTTCTACTTAAAAAAAAAAAATTAGCCAGGTGTGGAGGCACGCACCTGTAATCCCAGCTACTCAGGAGGCTGAGGCAGAAGAATTGCTTGAACCCAGGAGGTGGAGGTTGCAGTGAGCCGACATCGTGCCATTGCACTCCAGCCTGGGCAACAGA